TTTTGAAAGATAGCTTTGCCGAATATAGCAAAAGCAATCTTGAGTAGCATTGTTTTCTTTTAGAGCTTGGAATATCTCATTCCAGACCTTCTTGACATTAGGATCTGAGTTGAAGAGACAGAGGTAAGCCTTATTGGTTTGCCTGTAAATGTGACCTTACAATTTTCTCTTGCAGCTTTTAATAGTCTTTCCTTATTTTCTTTCTTAGATAATTTGGTTATGATGGGTCCTGTATGCCTATTGTAGTTGGATGTCTCATTTCTAATATGGGGAAATTTTTCTATTACTGTCTGATTGAAAATGTTCTTAATGCCATTATCCTATATTTTCATGTTCTCTTCTATTTCAGTGACTCTCAGATTTGTTCTCTTGATGCAGTTCCAGAGTTCTTGTATATTATGATCATGATCTTTTATTCTTTTTCCTTTATTGCACACTGAGTGTTCAAGTTCATATACCCTGTATCAAGACCTGAAGTTCTGTTTTCTGTGCAATCTAATCTGTTTGTGATGCCTTCAAGTGAATTGCTTATTTGATTCATTGTGTCTTTTATCTCAGGAGTTCTGATTGATTTCTTTTCATTATCTCTTTATTGAAATGGTCTTATATCTCATATGTTTGCTTTCTTAATATATTACTTAGATCTTTGATTTTTTGAACATTTAATAATAAGTTTTTTATACTCTTTCACAAGAATATGATCTACTTCATATTTGTAGGATTGTTTGTTGGGGGATGGTATATTTGGGGGAGCGATTTGTTTGCCTGTTTCCTCATATTTTCAGAGGTCTGGGACTTGTGCATCAATTGAGATGTATTCCCCATTCCTCTTTTATACACATGTCCTTTTGTGTATAGTTAATTGTTTTGTTATGGGACTTCTCTCTTATTTTGATGTATAAGTAAATATTTAGGAGTAGGATCTAAGGTCCCTCTCTGTTAGTTGGGGCCTGCTTGTTGGTTTGGGGGTTTTGTTTCCCATGTTCTATGTGTTGAAGTATTGTTGAGGCTCAAGTAGGGCTAGATGGTGTGTGGGGTAAGATTTGCTGTTACTTGGCTAAGTTGTGAGTATTGCTGAGCAGCAGGATCTCTACTCTATAACCTTAATGTCGCACTCACTTTCCAGGCTCTTTTAGGGAAAGCAGGGAGCCAGGAATAGCAATAAATGTTAGCAACAGATGTACAGCCTTAAGAAAAATGTCCAGTGTCTATTTTGGCATCTATAACACTGCCACCTATATAGGAATTATGAGGTCAGCATTTAACATCACTACCAACAACAACAACAAAAAAAAACATTTACTCGATCAAGTATTGAACAACAGATTTACTATATCATCCACTGTATTAATAACCATAGCAATAATAATGGGGTAAGAATTACATAAATTATTTAATTTTTTTAAATTCTCTTAATGGGATTACGGTTTCTTAAGGGAATATAAAGTAGGATGATGAAAAAGTTTGAAATGAACTGAGGAGAGGCAGGAGATAGGTAGCAGATGATGGCTATAAAGAATAAGGAGTTAAAAAAACTAAAAGTAATAAAAAAATGAAAAGGAGGAAAGAGGAATGGGAATTTTGACTATTAGTGGGAGAAAAGAGTGAAGAAGAGGCAACAAGAGGGCAAAACCAACATACTAACAAACAAATGTTAAGATCGAAAACAATTCAAACCCACATATAGTTTGTTATCCCCATCTAAGTCAAACTAAAGCTAACTAATAAACTGGTGAAAGTGAAAACAACTAAAACGAGAGCAAAATTATGTGAATACATATGTATTTTTTTTGAAACCTGTTGGCAAATAAGTTAAAAATTAAAAAGTGGAATACTGGAATAAATGAGAGAAAAAGGTTAAATACTCTTAATGAGAAATAAAGGACTTATTTCCACCAAAGTGGTCAAATTTTTATTAGCAGGAATTGATTTTTTGTATTTATTTTTGAGCTCTGTAATCTTTGGGTCAAAGGGCTAGGGATTGTTAGGTTCAGCAATTTTGTATTCTTCACCTAACTGCCAGCCTTTGTGGCTAGAAGCAGAAGCTGGTCCTAGTAGCTCTCAGCTTGCCCATCTCCCAGTATAGGGTGGGATAGACTGTGGAATGCTGACAAATTGTGTATTCTTGTCATGCGGGCGGTGCAGAATTCTAAATTGGAAGTTTGAGTAACTGGGATTTGGTATCCACTGACTTTTGGAACTTTTGTCTGAGATTAGATCCACATCCCTGTTGATGGGGAGATGCCGATCTCTGGTGGACATCTGGGGCGCCAGCAACAAAGGGAACTCTCTGTCCTTGGTATCCAGAGCCTGTATGCCCTAGGCACAATTTTTCTTTGTCCCTATTTCAGTTACACTGGTCCAGGCTCACTGGGGCTCAGTTCTAACAGGCAGTTGGAACCTTCCTTTATGAGTTTGCAATTTCATGCCTCTGCATGCGCAGCAGCACTGGTTCCCACGCAGGTGACCCGGGTTTCCCCCAAATTATCCACCTGTGGGCCAAGAGATTTTGGTTACTTTTTACTCAACAACTTTCCCCAAAGACTGGGTCCATTGAGATCAGCCTCCCTCTTTCCCACAGGTCCCCCACCCTCACTCCCCGAAAGCCAGGTATTTTTTTATTTTGTTTTGCTCTGCTGTGCTGTCCTTTGTCTCTACGTGCACTCCGCCTTCCTGCAGCAGCTGTAGTTTTCACCAGCCAGACTGGTGTGTCTCAAGTATTGGCTAGAGCATTATCTACCAGTACTTTAATGTTGACCTGAAATAATGTTTACTTATTTTTTTAGTATTAGGTTCCCACCAAGACAAAGTTGTTTTGTTCTGTTCTGTTGGTAAACTCAATCTTGTTTTCCTTTAGCTTTAAATGGAACCATTTTCATTTTTTATTACTTTCGTTTGATTCTTTGCACTTATTTCTTTTTAAAAAATTCAAAAATACCATAGTTATTTTAATTCTGGTATTTGTGGTGACTTAGAGTTGAAAATCTTGACCAGAGTTTTCTCATAGTGGTGTGTTTCTCATAGTGATGTATAGAGGCATATGTGTGTGCGTGCATGTGCAGATCTGGCTAACTGCATACCATAAGTTCTTTTCTTCTATTTTATTTCTTTCATAGTTTTTACCTTCGGACATGGCATTTTTTGCAGTTTCCATTTTGTGTAGACATAAGGCGGACTAAAAGTTTGCTTTTAGTTTGCAAGGTAATAGAAATGCTGAACTTTTTCTACATGCAGATGGGATACAGCTGATGATTGACTCATAAATCAAGACTCTCCTTTCTGAGTGTTGAATTAGTGTCTGAGTTTGTATTAGCCAAATCCCAAATTATCCCAATAAATGTACCCCATACAGACAGGTTCAAAAGAAATTTAATTCATGGTTCTTGGTAAAATCATGAAAAATAATTATTTAATGCCTTTCATAATAAAATAGTCCAGTCCTTTTCCTCTTAAGTAAGGGAGGAGTAAATTATACTAGTTCTAAATATTGTTGCTATTTGAAATGTAAACCTGATTAAATGAAATTTTGTATCTTCTTGAAGGGATTTGATACACTCTTATTCAGGGAATAGCCATTTCATTCATTTATATATATATATGTATATATATATTTATGGCATTTCCTCCCCTTTTTGCCATTTGATTGAAAATGTTAGAAAACTACTCTGCTTCTAGCAAGCATTTAAGTCTCCTTGCTTTTGGTCCAGTTAGATGGAATGTTGAGTGAATCTTAGCTGTATCTTCTAGACCTCTAGTACACCTTAAGTGTAAATCGTAGGGGTGTCCCACTGTGATTGTCTGAATTTAGGTTAACTCTCCTGTTCCCCGTTATGTATATTTGAAGGTTTTTATGCCAAGAGACAATACCCATGTGAGTTTGGTCCTTTCCATACATGTCATTCAATGTTTATGATTATATTTGATTTCAGATTTCTAAAGCATCTCCCCATGATTGTCCCAAATGAAATCAGAAGATACTGTCTATTCTCTGTAAAGTGAGGGTTTTTTTCCCTTTCTGTTATCATTGTATTACTGAGCATCTAAGCTTATAATTAAGATAGGTATTTATAACTGAATTTGGTTGGATAGGAAGTTTCCTTAATACCACATTATACTTTGTATTAGTAAATACAAATGACTATTATGAATTCTAACATTTCTATACTCCTAAAAATAATTTTTCAAACCAGTCTTTAAATTAATGGGAAAATGATGAAGTACATTATCATATGTATTGGTGTATGTTGATGGCAACATCATGTCTCCAGAAATGTAGTAAAATAAAATCTAACACTTAGGTTTTATTCATATTCTCCAGTATAGTCTGATATCACTGTACTTTCAAATTTGTTTTCTTAATATCTTAACATTGTCACTTAAGTAGAAGAGTGTAAATATCATTACTATCAAAATAGTGATAACTTTTTATTAATGACTTTACTTTTACAATTTATAGGATTTCTCATTTAATTTGTTTATCACTTTTTGTTTCCTAAGTATGTAATCAAATATTTTGACTGAGCAACCAGTCTCCCTTCTTTCCATTGCTAGAATTGCTAGAATTTCTTTTGGAAATAATAGGACATTATACCATAAAATATAAATCCATATAAATTAGACAACAAAGGATTACATTTTAAAGGAAAAGCATTGTATTTGTATCTTAGCTCAAATTAATATTAATAAATTCTAATTGACTGTGATAAACTATAAAATTTGAATCTGAACTAATTTTTAAAAAACATAAATGTAATTGATTCTTTAAAAAGGGAACAGTTATTTGTTAATTTTAATTAAAATATAAAAGTGCTTATTAAGCAAACTTTGATTTCATTGTTATTTCTGTTATTATAAAGTAGAAAAATATTTATTCTTAACCTTCAAAACTGGTACTGATTTCTAAAAACTAAATTCTGGTGTTTTCGCTGATATTTTTCAAGAAACAACAGGAAAATGATCTTAATTTTTTTGTTTTTTTTTGTTTTTTTTTTTTATTTCAGCACCACCACCTCCACCACCATCACGGGGAGGACCACCACCACCTCCTCCCCCTCCACATAGCTCAGGCCCTCCTCCTCCTCCTGCCAGGGGAAGAGGTGCTCCTCCCCCACCACCTTCAAGAGCTCCCACAGCTGCACCTCCACCCCCACCTCCTTCCAGGCCAGGTGTGGTCGTCCCTCCACCACCACCAAATAGGGTGTATCCTCCTCCACCTCCAGCCCTTCCCTCTTCAGCGCCTTCTGGGCCTCCACCACCACCTCCACCTCTATCAGTGGTAGGATCAGTGACAGCACCCCCACCACCTCCACCTCCGCCTCCACCAGGGCCACCGCCTCCCCCTGGCCTCCCTTCTGATGGGGACCATCAAGTTCCAACTCCTGCAGGAAACAAAGCAGCCCTTTTAGATCAAATCAGAGAGGGTGCTCAGCTAAAAAAAGTGGAACAGAACAGTCGACCAGTGTCCTGCTCTGGAAGGGATGCGCTTTTAGACCAGATACGACAGGGTATTCAACTGAAATCTGTAAGTAATATGCTCTTTCATTTTAGATCATTGATCACAATGGAATTTTAAAGTAATCTATAAGATATCTTTGAAAAGTTTATTAATCTTTTTTCTCTTGCTATAATTTATAATTTTTTAATTTTTTATTTATTTTAATTAGTTATACATGACAGTAGAATGCACTTATATATTTTGATATATCATACATAGATGGTATATAATTTCTCATTTTTCTGAGTATATATATTGTAGAATATAATTTATAATTTTAACCCTATAGATTTTTAAATATTTTTAGATACAATGAAATGCACAAATTTTTAGTTTAGATAATAAGTTCCTATAGCTCTATAACCCATTCTTCTACATAAAATGTAGAACATTCTGTATCCCAGAAAGTTACCTTATTCCTCTTACCAGTTAGTTGTTCCCAAAACATTCTCTGATGTGATTGCCTATTCTTTTTTTTTTTTTTTTGGTACTGGGGATTGAACTCAGGGGCACTTGATCACTGAGCCACATCCCCAGCTCTATTTTGTATTTTATTTAGAAACAGAGTCTTGCTTTTGCTGAGGCTGGTTTTGAACTCGGGATCCTCCTGCCTCAGGAGTGTGCCACCACACCCTGCTTATTGCCTATTCTAAAATTTAATATAAATGGAATCTTATAGTATGTTTACAGTTCATTGTTCTATATTTTATTTTTAAATAAAAGATATTTTAAAAGAATCATTATTAAAGTAAGGGGAATTTAAAATACCAATTGCAATTACCAATTGCAATCACCTTGGTAAATCCAAACTAGTAACTTTATGAAAACTAAATCAAATTCAGATGATTCCATGTTTTAGACTAGTAAAGAATCAGGTGCCACCAAAAAAAAAAAAAAAAATTGAAAGAGTTCTAATAGAATTTCTGACACTGAAGGCTGATAACTTTTGGACAAGATGATCATCATTTAATCCTTTAGATCATTTAATCTTTTAGAGATTGACAAACTTTTTTGATAACAGACCAGATTATAAGTATTTAGACTTATAGGCCATATGGTCTTTTGTTATTTTTTTTTTTAGAGAGAGAGAGAATTTTAATATTTATTTTTTAATCTTCGGCGGACACAACATCTTTGTTTGTATGTGGTGCTGAGGATCGAACCCGGGCCGCATGCATGCCAGGCGGGCATGCTAGCGCTTGAGCCACATCCCCAGCCCCAGTCTTTTGTTATAAGCACCCAAATCTGCTGCTGTACCATAAAAGCTGCTATATATAGTACATAAATAAAAGAATGGACTTGGTGTGGAATAAAGCTTTATTTTTAGACTCTAATGGCAGTGTTGCACTCCTATTTAGTGTTCTCTGCTTTATATTACCTGATCATTAAAGAGTGGTCCTGGCTGCTGTTAAGAGCCTCATGCAGAAATACCAAACTCTAAAACCTGAGATTTTCTGTTTGTGGACTGTTATACTAGTAATAGTATTACATACAAGAGCTAAACTTAAGTACTTATGAATGAATCTGTATCTTATGGAGAGCTACATGGAATTTTTTTTTAGAGAACACAGTGATATTTAGCCTAGAAAGAATAGTAGAAGAGTTACCAAAAAAACCAAATGAAAAATTTGTTTTAATAAAGTTATTAAGACAATTTTCTATGGAAAATATTTTTCTTTGGAAAATTTTATTCCTTGGAAAAGAATTTAAAATTTCAAATAAATAAAAATGTTTAAAAACTTGTGTGATTTTTTTTTTTTAGTATAGCTATGCTATTTCATCTTTTTGTTGTTGTTGTTTTGTGGTACTGGGGATTGAACCCAAGGCCTTGTGCATGTGAGTAAGCACTCTATCAACTGAGCTATATCCCCAGCCCTATTTAATCTTTTTACCAATATTATAACAATGGGTAATGGAAGTTCAGAGACAGAATTAATAAAATTAATATGTAAAAATATATTTGTCTCATTTTAGTACTTAGAGAAGTACTTTCTAAATTGTAAATTTTTTCCATTACATTTTTTTCCTCTTTTTTTAATATGAATGTGGAAATAGGGATAATTTTGCAGGGACTGGTTTCTGAATAAATGAATTTTTAATCAAAATCTTTAGTTTTTTTCTTTTGTATCATTTTATTTCCTGAATATAGTTTGGGGGAAATGGAAGTAATTTCTACCAGGGATAGTTAGTTATTTGCCATGTGAGACAGGTACAGTTTCACAACTTCTAAATACTGCCCAGGTTTATAAAATAATGTCCTTTAATAATAGTTTTGAAGTTTTATCATATAAGATTCTTGTGTGCTGGAATGTGCAGAAATTATTATTCACTTTTGGGGGAAATATTCAGTTTTTTCTTCTTAATTTAGCTAATCCTGACTGGGCTTGAAATTTTGATTGCTTGCTTTTTAATTTTTCAAGATAAAGAGGTGATACTAAGAAAGTAAGACATTCTGAAGGCAGATTCTTTGCTAAAGATTTATAGTTGAATCTTTCTAATTTTGTATTCCAAGGTGTCTGATGGCCAAGAGTCTGCACCACCAACACCTGCACCCACTTCAGGAATTGTGGGTGCATTGATGGAAGTAATGCAGAAAAGGAGCAAAGCCATTCATTCTTCAGGTAGCTTGCATGTTTGTGTGTATGTGTGTGAGAGAGAATTTTATTGCTTAAAATTCTGCTGTTTTTATTTTTATAACTGTCTTTGTTAGCTTTTTCTCTGCTAATGAGTAATTAACTGATTTATTGCCCCTGTAATTAGTCTATCTTAAAATTTACAGATGCTAGCACACCACAACCATAGCTGTAAAGTGGAAGAACTTTGGAAAAGTGGTAATTGTATTTCCTATACTGAGAAATACTAATAGAATCTGATTGCCAAGCAACCTCTAGACAAAGCTTGTGATTTTTAGATCTCATTCCTGTTATGTTCTAATGACAGAAGAAATTCAGAAGGTTTCTCTGGTTTCAGAGGATTAGAAAATTAGGAATATTCTATAGATTGTGGGGTTTGTAATCTCAGTTACTTGAGAAAATGAGGCAGGGGAACTAAAAGTTTGAGGCCAGCCTGGGCAGGTTAGGGAGAACTGAGAGCTGGGGATATAGCTAAGTGATAGAGCACCCCCGGGTTCAATCCCCAATAAGTACTCCCCGCAAACAAACATTTTTATCATTTTAATTTTCTTATTTGTTACATGGAGAGAATTCACATATCAAATGATTGATGGTGAGAATTAAATAATATGTAACCAACAGATTACCTAGCACATAATAGGTGCTCAGTAAATCTTACTTTCCTTTTCTTTGTTTCTCTATAAGGAGATAGATATCTTAAGATCCTTGAGCAACATTATACAAATTACAAAGACAAAAAGGACTGATTATTCCATAAATATTGGTGAAGGAGTAATATTAAAATTATAACAAAACAGTAAAAATTCCTGCCTTCATGAAATAAGCTTTCTTGTGAGAGAGACCAAAAAATATACAAAACAAATTAGATAATATAAAGCAGAAAAGGGCAAGGGAGTTAAAGGCTGTAGGAGGGAGGTTCATTTTGGAATAGAACGATAGTCCCAACTTAGGTGACATTTATGGAAAGGAGTAAAACATGTTAAAAAAAAAAAAAAAAGCAATATCTGGGAAAAGCATCAGATGGAAAGAACAGCAGGTACAGAGTACCTGAGGCTGCGGAACAATAAGGTCCATATGTTGGGAGCGAGAGAGAGAGAATAGTAAGGAATGAAACAGGGGACCATTAGTAATGCTTTGAAGACCATTGATTTTTATTCTGAACTCGATGGGAAGCCATCATAGGAATGACAGTGATCCATGTAAGAGATGATAGAGGTTGAACTAGATTTCTTGTACTAATCAGAAATGGTTGGTTTTATTTTGAATGCATATATCACTGGAGTTACTGATAGGTCAGAAGTGAGCAGCTTAAAAATTAGAATTTCTTTAACAGAAGAGCAAGTTTAAGGGGAAAGATTAGGAATTTGGCTTTGGTACATACTGTATTTGAGATACCTATTCAAAATTCAAATTTAAGTGTTGATTTGGTTATACATCTAGGATTCATGAACAAGGTCTTATTAATATAAATTAGCATGTCAGTAAGCTGTACATAGATACATATTATTGAAGGTTATGGAACTGGTTGAGATTAGCAAAGTGGATGTGGAAAAGAAAAGGTCTAGCTGGGCACTGTGGCACACGCTTATAATCCCAGTGACACAGGAGGCTGAGGCAGGGAGATTGCAAGTTTGAAACTAGGCTCAAAAGGGCTTAGGATGTGGCTCAGTGGTAAAGTGTTCCTGAGTTCAGTTACCTGGGATTTAATTAATTAATTAATTAATTAACAAATAAAGAGAAAGAAGAGAAAGTCTAATAATAATAAGGTCTGAGGACTACAGAATGTAGCATTTAGAAGCCAGGTGAAACAAATGTTTGAAGGAGGACAGGATAGTCATCTGGGTCAAATGGTATTCTGGCCAAATTAGTAAAGAAAATATAAAAGATAACTTCATGTATGGAAGATGCTCAAGAAAAATTTTGATAGCTGCCAGTGTCAAAGAGATAAATTAAAGGTTCACATTTCATCAGATGGGGCAAATGATAGGTTGCTATAAAATAGATGATGATGATAACGCATTTTTTCTTTTGATATCTCTGGGTTTTGGTAAATACTTCCCTATAGTGATTTTTTTAAAAAAAGACAATTTTTAATAGTCATGCAAGTTGTAATGAACTTATAATGTGGTTCATATAATGAATATATAACATACTTTGTGTATTTGAACCCTTTTCATTTTACTATTATTTCTATGCTAGTACTAGAAGATAGAATTACTAACTGTTTCCTCCTTTTCACCAAGGAGAAGCAATTGGTGATAATTTTACCTTTGGTCACTCTCAATGCTAGCATAGTTAGGTGTACTTGATGCTTTTATCCAGGGGAAGTTCTTTTTTTTTTTGGGGGGGATACCAGGGATTAAACCCAGGAACACTTAACCACTGAAACACATCACCAGGCCTTTTTTCTATTTTATTTAGAGACAGAGTATCACTGAGTTGCTTAGTGCCTCACTTTTGCTGAGGCTGGCTTTAACTTGTGATCCTCCTGCCTCAGCCTCCCAAGCCACTAGGATTACAGGCACGTGCCACTGCACCCAGCTTATCCAGGTAAAGTTTTGAAGCATAAATAGCAAAAACTTTGGATAGCACATTATTTCTATTGCTAGAAAAGTAAACAGAAGTTGTAATATGTAGTCAGTTGAACTGTTTTGCAAGTGTATTCTGTAACAATTTAGAGCTAACTTTCAGACTTAAATAACTAATAGCTATTATTGTTAATAATAACTCATAGTATTATTATAATAAAAGAAATAACTTAGTTTGGAGCCAAGAAAAGATATCTTTGCCCCTCTCTGGCTTTTGTTAATTTCCAAGTTCTAATACTAGAGCTGAAGTATTTCTTTATAGGACCTTTTAAAATATCTGTTTTATAGTGGGGGAAATAAAAGAAAAAGCACACATATATGTCACATACTTCTTTTTCTTATTTTCTATTATTACCAAGTGAAAGTGTTTGGGTCCTGTCTTACATTGCCAACTTGGCTTGCATGGGTTATATGGGATATGTACTTCAAAGGTTAGTAATTATGACAAGCTGATAAAAATATAGAAGTGTACTCTCAGAAATTGACAACATCTACATATTCGTTCATTCAAGAAGTCTAGTTGAGCAGCTCCTGTGAAGCACTGTTTTCTGGTATTAAGGATACAATAATGAAAAGACAGGCAAAGTCCCTGATTTCATAGAGCTTGTATTCTAGTGTGAAGGCCATGAACCTAAAGACATGTAAGAATGTCAGACAGGAATGTTGTAGGAAAGTGAAACAGGAAAGACACTGATTGTGAAGGAGGGTTATACTTTACAAAGGATAGTCAGAAAACCCCTCCAAGAAGGTGGGGTTTTAGTGAGTCATCAAAGATGAGAAGACTCAGGCAGACAGAAAGCAAGGATAAAGTTGGCATGTTTGAGTCACAGAAAGAAGGCATCTTACTAGAAATAGTGAATCAAAGGAGGTGGCATTATGAGAAAGGCTTGGAGAACACTGGGAAATCATGTAGGGATTTTTAGAATTGAGGTCACATCAGATTTTATTCAGAGCAGAGCTTGGCCACAGGAGGCCTCTAGGGGGTAGCAACATGAGATTTTTTTAAATTCAGAATGTAAATAGTGTCACTCCATTTGCTCTGATGCAAATGGACTAAACAATCTAAGCAAGATATAGTGATGGTATGGGAGTAACCCTGGATGTGGTGGGAAGGAGTAAACTGGATTGGATGGTGAAAAAAAAAAAAAAGAGGAATCATTAATAATTTCTGGGTTCTTGACCTAATTACCTGAGAGAATTGATGGCATTAAAATTGAGATGAAACTGACTAGAGCAGAGATGGAGAAGCAGGCTGGGGAGAGGAAAAAACTTCACAAGTTTTAAATTTGAGAATCCACATGAAGAGTACAAGAAGGCAGTTGGATTCTTGATTTATAAGTCTGAAATTCAGAAAAACCAAACCAAGTGTAATATAACACATTAATATTAAGCACACTGGATAGGCTGGGATGGGAAGTACTGAGTGGTGAGGCTCTCTTGCTTCACACGAGTGAGGTCCTCAGTTCTATCCCTACTACAGGGAGAGAGGGAAAAATCACAGGTTGAAATTTGTTTCATAGATACCAAGGTAGAACCCAAATCTTGGAACTTCAGTTCTAATCTTTGGTTTAACTATCACACTCTTTGGATGTATTTCATTAAATTTTAAACTATCTTATTAACTAGATTTCTCCAAGAATTAAATGGATTATGTTTTCAGAGGTTAAGTATTTGGAGAACTCACCCAAGAATTATGTAACATTTATATTTTCATTGTTTTGATGATTTTCTTCTAGATGAAGATGAAGATGAAGATGATGAAGAAGATTTTGAGGATGATGATGAATGGGAAGACTGATCTATATATTATATATATATATATTTTTAAGGTGAAATACTAAACACTACTTTCTGTCTATGGATTCTGTAAAATTATCATGTAAATGTTCTACCAATTTGCTGTATATTTTTGTTGCCTTTTTTGCTTTTTTTTTTAATTAATCTGTGCAATACCTCATTTAATCTGTAAAGGTTTGTCATAATCCTCTACAAAGCTACTCCCTGTTACTGTGTACAAGTTTACACCAGGATGCTCACTTGATTTGTGAATATATTTCATTCCATCAACAAGGGAGTTTAAATACTATATGTGAGACTGACAAAAACCTTAATGTAATTTAGTTATAATGCCAGAAGGAAAACACTATTTTCATACCCTACTTTTTCTGTACCTAAATTTTCTTATTAAAATCTATTATAGCACTACATTCTTTTTTAAGTGATGTAAACCTTAGTTTCTTTAGCCCCTTCGTTTTGAATACAATGCTACATATGAATGTTGAAGTTGATACCTTGCACAGTTCTCTAGACATCACTACACTGATGCCATTTTTCAAATTTTAGCAATATGTTCTTTTTGACATCTCTACAAAGATCCCAGTAGGGGAAATCAGTTATGCCTCTTACAGCAGCATTGCTGTTACACAGTAGTGGTGTTTGCAGGCTGGAACCACAGGGAATCCTTCCTTCCATACCTGTACTTGATTGCGGTTACATTTATGCTGTAACAAATGTGACAGGCTTTTTGGCAAAACTCTTAAAAAAATATTTTTGATATTATTCTGAAAAATTATTTAAGTTGGAGTTTAGAGGCTTTGGGGTAGTTTTATTCTTCATGAACCATAATGGTCATTCTGTTTTTCAGTTTGTATAGATTGAGGTCTTCAAAAATACCAACCATAAATATCAAATTAATTAGCAAAGGTATGTACTGTAATGCTGAACCTAACATACTGTATATTTTTCTTTTGATAATTTCCCAAGGTTTTTGTCAAATGTCAAGTGAAGGGTTACATTTTTCTTAAAAGATTGATGGTCCAAATGTCAATTTTCTTGAAACACATAACTGATTCTGATTTAATAGTTTTTTTAAAAAAAAAAATAAAACCTTACAACCTGCACATTTGTTTATGCATACTAAATGGTGTGTTAAAATTAGGGTGTCCTTCCCTCTTTACAATACACTAATTCACCTAAAGATGGTCATTCATATTTATAGTGCTAATTATCGTATCTACCTACTTTGAATTTTAGGTAGAAAATTATCTGATTTAAATACAGACATATTTTTCTCACATTGAGTCATATGCAGAATGTAGTTCCAAATGTATTTCATTACTATAGTCACGATACCCAACTAAAAATTATTCTATCTAGAATTGTTTCCACCAAAATCTAGTATTGGCATGATCTTGACAGGCTGGACCTGCAAGATGTGGCTTGAATTTTAACCAGTTTATCACATAATCTCTAGTGATCATGCATCTAGTTATCATAAAAATAATTTAAGAGGTTTAGTTGATGAAAGCAGTAAGTGGTGCAGTAAAATAGTTAAGTTATTCAAAGAATGTTACCTTCCTTGCAAGAGTAATTTAAGCACATGGGAAAGATTCTAGATTTTTGTTTCTTGTAAAAACAGCGCCCTTTGCTGCTAGAAACCTTTTCTGCTTACTATTATTTTTATTGTGGCTTTAGCTCAGTGAATCTGGTGTGGATAAGGTTGGACAGCTACTAACCAATAAAATCAAAATTTTGTGCAAATATTAACTAGGACATTATAATTATTTTAAATAAATAACATTAGGTCTGGTGCAGTGGCTCATACCTGTAATCCCAATGACTTAGGAAGTTGAGGCAGGAGGATTACAAGTTTGAGACCAGCAATTTAGCAAGACCCTGTCTCAAAATAGAAAGGTCTGGGATGTAGCTCAGTGTTAAAGCACTGCTGAGTTCAATCCTCCAGTTCTGGAAAACTAAATTTCATTAAACATGTCTTTTTTATGACATTATAAAAAATGTTTTAAGTGGCCTAGAAATGTAAGGTAATGCCAATTTAAGGTGTTTCTTAACTTTTGGCCACGGAATTCAGCATTTTCTATCTAACTTTGGTATGATAAGTATTTATCAGGAGCTTCTCTGAGCAGAGGATATCAATTCTCAAGAGTTGGAAACACACATAAAAGATGGGTATATAATTTGCCAAAGGCAATTGAGTTTGTTCTTTTTTCTTAAGGAGAAAAAGACCTTTTTGTTGTGATTGCACAAAGTCTAAGTTTCTATTGGTTGAAACACAACAGCTGTGGAGTTCAGTCCAGTTATGAAAACTACATCTTCTTTACTGAGTAAGACAAAGTTTGCATGTTTCAGTCCTCCACCGTTCTGCACTGTGGGCAGCACTATACCTGTGCATTGTCTGAAAGCCTCCCATATATACTCCAGCGAAATGATTGTCTGGTAGCCTTCGCATTTAACAAACTAGCATGAGGCTTTTTATATCTAAATGCTATGTGATAGACAATTTCAGCTAGCCACATATTGTATGTATGAGATTCATAAAAATTTTCAATCATTCATTTCCATTTATCAACTGAAATTTTGTTTAGTATGTGATTTTTTTTTTTTTTGAATTGTATAGTGAATAGGATGTTGCACTGGTGGCAATTCATCATGGAGCATAATAAAATTAATTTGGCCCAAATAGCATAAAATGGTGTGTTTTTATTTGTTGATTAAAAGACTAAAATAGGTAACAAAATCCTTAAACTGTGGAGAAGACCAAAGCATATTCAGCAACAAATGATGGTGGTTGAAGTTTTTAGCAGACTTCATGCCTGAGAGTCGGAGTGTGCTATTAAATAAACATGGTGACCAAGAAACTGTTACACCCTGTTCTGTTGGGAAACATGACAGCTGCTCAGCAGTTCCCCTGGAAGCCAGTGAGTGCTGTGGAACACAGGGCATTCGCATCACAAGGTCACACTGTTTGGAACTCTTCCGCATACCAAAAATGTTAAAAGTTTTCTAAATTAGAATGATATTGAAGTTTACTGGTAGTTTCAGTAAACGCCAAATACAGCAGTTCATGTGAGCCATAAATAGTTTTCAGTAAACAGTATCAAAGATGGTATTCTTTTTAAACAGGAAATTCAGTTTTTGATAAATAGAATTTTTCTGTTCCACTGACTCTGGCATAAGTGGGTGTCTGAAGATTAAACTGAGTTATGGAATCCAGAGTGTAGGTTGCTACAGAATGCCTTTCAAGAGCTTCAGCCAAAGTTAACAAATATTTCAAGAATAGTATATTCTATTAAGTTTTCTGGGGTTGGGGTTGTGGCTCAATGGCAGAACCCTTGCCTCGCACATGTGAGGCACTGGGTTCGATCCTCAGCATCACATTAAAACAAAGATATTGTGTTCATGTATAACTAAAAACAATAAAATAATTAAAAAATAAAATTGTTTCTGATGTACGAATGTGAGCCCTTAAGAATGTATTAAACAAACTTAAAAGAATTTTTAAAGAAAAAAGTGCCTCAGAATTGTCCTGTCACATCATATTTATCTAATCAACAGATTCTGAAATGACTGCTTTAGGAATGGAGCTCCTCAAGGACAAGTACAGTGATAAGGCCTATTTATAGTGCAACAGAAAATCCTTTGTGGAAAAGTTGATGAATTTTACCTTGCACTTTTTTTTTAATTGACACTCTCCCATCTTGCCTTTTAAATACAGCATTCTCTCATAATCTTTCGGTCATTTATTTGTGGATTTTATTTTAACTCTTGTTTTTATGGAAATTATTAGGAAAAGAAGAAGATGTGGTAAACTGTTATGAGTATGATGGGGAACAGGCTTTGCAGCTAATGATTAAGACCCTCTTCTGTATATGATATATACTATCCTCCATTACCTTGAGGAACCTATGCAAATATTTGTCTTTCCAGATGCTTCTGCCGTAGCATTAAAAAGAAATGCACATTGATGATTGTACTGTTGATGCTGTATTTGATTTTACATAAATTCAGTGTAAATCTAAACTGGTCCTCTGCACCATCATCAAGACAAATGAAGTTATGAATGCTACACAATTTGAGTAAAATAGTAATTTATAAGCAATTTTCAATTTAGTCAGCTATTTGTCTTTTAGGAAATTTCTAGTATATTTGAAGCAGCTCCTGAATTCCTTTACTCTTACTTCAGTAAGATTTGTTTTTTTCTTAATTTTCTATTTAGGAGAGAATTTATTTTCAACATTATCTAATTGCATTATGGAACATGACCAAAACACTGTTTTAGGCCTTGAATTGGTTGGCATATCATGACCTAGAATTTAGTTTAGTTATTGCTATTTTCATCAAGGCCTACTTCTAAAGATTTTTAAAAGCATCAATATCAACATATTTAAATAACTGCCATAAAGAACTAAATAGACACTAAGGTACAACAGGGGAGTAAGAAGGTCCCATCCACTCTGACATCCTTTAAAACATTTATTTCACAATTGAAAGACATTTGGAGACCGTCAAGCTACTTTGGAAGAAATAGGCATGTAGGCATTATCAAGACCACACTCTCAATTTCACAGAAAAGAGTACCATATTCAGTGTGGTTGTGACAAGGCTTATCAGTTCAAGGACTCTCAGAAGCCACATTTGACTACTAGTTTACTCCTTTCCCTGCACCATAATATTGTTGCATTCTTGTTTTATATTTTTCTTAAGAATAGCCACAGATTTAGTTTATTTCTGAAAGATATGACCGCAGACTACACCCTTTCTCACATATCATTTGAGTGTTGATAGATGTCACCAGCATCCTGTGCCCATCTCTGCCCAGAAAAGCTGGCTTGCTCTGAGAAGTCAGCCTCCGACCAAGCATGTGATGGTGTCTTGGCTCATTGATGGCGGTCACCCTACATTGCCCAAGCATTTGGTCATCATAGGGTACTTCTGCCATTTAGTACTGGGTTGAAATGAGGTTGAGCTTTTGATTATACATCCAAATTACTTTTATTGGTTTCTTATGGATGTAAATAGGCATTGTCTTTTCTTAGATGTAAATATTTTTAAAACTTTACAATCAATTTGTCTGACAAGTTTCAGATTACATCTTTCTGAATAGTTTTCAATCAACAGCTGCACTGTCAATTTAAAGACCGGGAGTTCTTCCAAGAGCACAAGGACAAACAACACTTTAAATCCAACTTCCTAGTTTTACTATTTGTAAGATAAGGGAGGTTCTAATTTTGGTTGCAAGTACTTCAACCTTGTTGAAAAAGAGGCAGGAAAATAAAATGTTTGTGGTATGGAAAGAACAAATTAGGTGTAAGAAAGGCATTATCATTTCCCATTGAATATAGGGGAACAAAGCTGACCAAGTCCTAATTCTGTTGCCCCTAAACCAGCTTTTGACCTAAAAAAGAACCCTTTTCTTTTGGGGTCAAAGTCTAAAGAGGCAGAGAATAGGGAGGACACTTTTTCTTTATAAGCATGTATTTTTTTCAAAATAGGTGATCAAGAGAATGCTCAGTAAAATTAAATGTATTTGAATCTTTATTTTGAAGGATGAAAAATAAGCACTTTTATCACTTTGTTTTCCCAGAGTCCAAAACAGCAGGGGGGGGGGAATGGTTTTTATGAGAATCACTGTCTTTTTCTTGTTTCATTTTTCCCCCAACTCCCTAAATCATATCATTTTTAAAGCAACATCATTCTGCTGGCTTAGGAGTAATATACATTGTGCACTTCAGTTGTTTTGATTCTGCAAATCCTTTGCAAAGCCTACTTGACTAACCATTATGTACTGTTAAATGAGGTTTGGTGGGTTGTTGGGAAAGGTAAGATAACTTGTACAGAAAGAAAGAAATGTGTTTGCTCTTTCTACCACATGGCTGGTTCACACTTAGATTTAGCAGTATCTTCATATTTTGGTCTCCATTTATAATATATGGTGAGTTTGGATTAGAGTAATGACCTCACATATGAACTTCTTAACATAATAAACTTTGGGATGTCTTTCAAGTTGTCTATTTATCTTCAAGTTGATAAGATCTTCAACAAAATTGAAGATAGGGGTGGACATTTTTAAAAACTAAAAAAAGGAAGTTTTCTAAAATGCTTTCAAATACACATTTTTTAAATATTAATAGGATCGGGCAAATAAAGGAGAAATGGGAACAAAGGAAATGTTATCCCAAGTCTTCAAAATTCCCAGATGTCAAGTTTTCCAAACCAGTAGATAAATGTACTTGAATGCAAGTGATATTTTTCTAATTTCTTACACAAAAGCAGGATTTTGCTTTGCCTTGTATGGGTTTTATAACTTGTAAGCATGTGGATATTTGGGGATGGGGAGCACAGTGGAAGTCCCATGGACTTCTTGTAAATAATAACAAGAACACCTTCAAAATATTGGTCCTGTTTGATGGTGGCAATACACTTACCATTCCAAGAAAGTGTTTTTCTAATACACACTCCCCAGAGGGCCCACTTGGTTGGCAATTCCCAATATATAAACTGCTCTTTGACTTCTTCAAAGGGGCATATCCTGACCCCGTCTCCTTTCTGCAGAGATGCTGTCTTGTGGACTCAGGTTGGACTACTTTTGGATGACAGAAATCCATTCAAGGAGCTTCCAAAACTCCCATGGCTGTGTTCATCCTTTTCCCAGTCCTTTCATCCCTAACATTGTTTTCCTTCAAGAAAAAGCATCCATCATAACACTAATCAGTTTTGCTGAAATTTAGCATGAAATGTTTTATATGAACAACAAGATAAACGTAACTTGGAAAAGCCTAATAATTTGGAAAAAGTTAAATAGCTAGTAAGTGGCAGAGCTGAGTCTCAAGTTCTCAAGACCCTTAACCACTGTGGTACCCTACCTATGTGGTGACATAAAACACCAGCAATGGTCTGGGTTAAAAAGTAAAAATGTTACTCCAATATCTTTATTTTTTCTGCTTATGCACATGCAAAGTCATGCTTTGTTTTCAAAGCAAAAACATGCAACAGAAAGGAAAATGCATTATAATCATAATCATGCAATTAAACCAGTGGCCACTAGGGCAAGCTGTGATATTGGGACAAACCCAGATTTTTGGAGTATGTGAATAGAATTTTTTTTTTTAAATAATGTGTCGTGGTTTGCTTATCTTTGTTCCCCAGTCCCTTCTTATCACCATTAAAATATTTTTTTTCCATTTGAACTATGGGATTAGGTAATCGGTACGTTTGAGTAATCCCAAACACTTTATAAATATTTACACAGAAATTTATCTGGAATTACTTCAGAGTCCTCTTTGTGAATTTAAAGTAATTTCTGTATAGAAAGACACTTGTAAATAGGTATTTTCCCCTCAAACTCTTTTTTAATGTAAACTTTTTAAAAAGGTAAAAGTTCATTTTTCCAGGTTTGCTTCAACATAAAGCATCCCTTTGAGATGCTGTTCATTGGCTGACTTGTTCACATGAATATTATTTCTTAATGGGGGTGGGGGAGCCTGGCCCACCCTCAGCTTGAAGGAGAATTATTTCCTGATAACTTCACAAAAGACAATGTGCAAATTGTAATTTAGAGTGACTTCACTCATTGGTTGTGTTTATGCAATGCATGATTAATGGATCATCTGAGATTTCATTTCAGAAAGAGAAAAAATTAGCAGTTTGTGCCAGTGACCACAGTGTTTTGATGAAAGACGATG